AGTTGCCTCTTTGCCCACAAAGTAAATCCACGTTCCCCTTCATCTTCTGCACAACCTTCCCTCCTTACTCAGGTCTAGCATTTAGTCACAACCAGTTGCTCTCTCCCTCCATAGATTCCATGCAGTTGCAGTATTTCCCAAAGTGTGGCTTGTAGACCACTTGCTTTAGAGTAACAGAAATTTTAAACAATGCAGAGACTTGGGTAACACTCTAGGCACTCTGAATCCAAAACTCTAGATGTGGGTACCCGTATGCTCGTCAAGTAATTTTTGAATATCCTACAACATGGAAACTTCATTTTTTAGACCACTTAATAGGGAAAAAAAACCCCTGAATTCGATTGCTTAAACATATTTCCCATTAATTATATACCTCATTTGATTCTCATTGTGTTGCTCTGAAGTCAGTTTTTTATTACTCCGTTTATTCTACAGATGAGGAAACATACAGAAGAACTAATGGCATTAAGAGATTTGTCCAATTCATACAACCAGTAGGGTCTGGAGATAACATTCAAGTTTGCCCTTTCCAAATCCAAATTGCATGGGCTCTCCACTATACAGTATCTGCTTCTCACTCTGGGAAGGGTGTAACTTTTTTTCATTGTGTCCTTGGTAAGTGCTGGTTCATCCTTCAGTGTTGTACTAGACAGAACATCTCCTGAGCACTCACCTTTCCAGTACAGATTGTGGATGAGAAGGGGCCACATAATAAACCTGACAAGCTCAGGAGAGGCCTGCATGAGACTTACAAACTCAGAGACATAAAATAACCACATAGGATAGTTTGAAATTAAAACTCTCTAATCAAAAGCAGGTCAGGGTGGGCAGTGATGTCCTAGGCTAAAATCTTCCATGACAAAAGTCAATCTTTACTTTAATTGAGCCTATATATTGTCTTTTTGCATCTACGATAACATAATCTTCGAAATGTCAAATTTCCTTTTCCTGGACCCCTCACAGCACAGGCACCGCACAAGAGGGAGACCACCAATCCCCTCATTGTTATTGTTACTGTGTTAATTGTTGAATGTTAACTATCCTATACCCATCTATGTAAAAGTATGAGTTTATCATTTTACCTTTTATCCAGTCCTGAAGGCTCTACCCCCACACCTTTGCTTTCTTCTACCTCCTTAATCTATCACCAATGAATTTCATGTATCCTACTTACATCTTCCCTTTTGATTGTGATGTATAAAGCAGGGTGCAGAACTACCATTTTCTGGAGCATTTCCTTAATCCACTGAGGTTTTTCTTCCTGGCAATTGTCAAATTGGCTCAAATAAACTCATAAAAGGTCTTACAGATTTGGACGTTTCTTATGTTGACAACATGATCGGTCAGCATCCCATTGCAGGTACCTAAGATGCTTTGCTTCGTTTCCTCTTTTGGCCTGATCAAGGGGTAGACAGAAGTGCCAGGGAGGTAGTGCTCCCAGGAGCTAATGACCTGTTTTTAAACACTATGTATATATCTCATTACATGGCTAAATCTTAACATAATTATGCTGAGTGAAAGGAGCCAAATTTTAAAAAGGGTATATACTTTTAAAAAAATATTATTTTATTGTTCAAATACAATTGTCTCTATTTTCCTGCTACCACTTGGGTATATACTTTTGATTCCAATGATATAACTTGCTAGCAAACGCTAATTTCTAGCACTGAAAGCAGAACCGTGGTTGGCTGGGGTTGGGGGCTGGGACAGAGGAGAGGGGCCAGAGGGAGCAAGGGAGCGGTTAAAGTGGGCATGAGGAAGCTGTTGGGCATCACGGGTATATTCATTATCTTGACTGTGGTGATGGTTTCATGGGTATATGCGTGTGTCAAAAGTTATACTGTATACTTTAAACATATGTGGTTTATTTTATGTCATTTTAACCTCAACAAAACAGAAAAGCCCCCACACAACATCTATATTAGGATATTATAAAGCAGACTTTGCTCTGCTTTTCAAAGGTTTTGATACATGTACATTTGATTTGTATACCAATTAGTTCATTGAGTTTATTTCCCTTCTATTTATAGCAGGACTCAGCATAAACTAATTGTGTTATTCCTGAAGATGTGCCCTAGGATATCTCGGACAGGTGACTGACTCAGAATTGGGGATCATGGTTGTATCTTAGTTAAGTTATAAGAAGAAAAAAGCCACAGTCTCCTCCCTATATGTAAATGCTATTGCAGCCTTCTTTTCTAGAAGTAGCATCTCCTATTAATAGAATGCTTTTAACTGTAATTCAAATTCTTTTAAAATCTATTCATTAGTTCTTTCTGAGAGAAGCCTGTGGTCCACAGATGTTTACCAATTCACAAGGTAAGTACAAACATTGAGAATAAGAGTTTAAAAACAGCAAGCTGAGAGAGTAATTTTACATCTAATAAATTTAATAAAAAAAATTGGGGCTGTATTATTCTAATGAGGAACATATGACTTTTCATTTTGAAAAATAGTTGAATAGAACATTACATTGAAAAATATGGCTTTAAAATAAAAAGAGCGCCCTTTTTTTTTCTTTTTTAACATATTGACCTCTGAACTATATATAGGAAGGAATAGAAAAGATCAAGTGTGCTAGGTCTGGCATCAGACTACTGGGGTTTTATTTCTGCCTCTCCCACATACTGTGATTTTTGAAAATTACCTACTCTGTGCTTTTTTATTAACTGTTCAATATTAATAATAATATTGTCATAGGCATCATCAAGCCTGCCTTAATAGGGTTTCTATGACTATATGAAAACTGCTTAGAAGAGGACCTGGTGAATAGTAGGTGCTCAATAAAGGGGTTATAACAATAATTTTTCAGAACAATTAGTCAAATCAAGAGGGCAATAAAATGTCCAGACTGCCTTACATTAAAATGTTCCAATTATTTATCAGTCTTAATTAGAAAATGACCTTTTCAGAGGCAGGTGCTGTATCGTATCAATCTTTGCTACCCCAGTATCTCCACTAGTGCGTGGCGTGTAGTCAGCAGTCACAGAGATGCCTGTAGCACTCCTCCCCGACTCAGGGACGCTGGGCTCTTCTGGCCGGCCAGCCTCAACTTTTAAAGCCCTTGCGTCAAAACCCCTTCAGCACCACTTAGTTAAAAGCAGTTCATCATTCCCTATCACCCTGTGACCTATGACCTGGTTTATTTTTATTACATCTGTCACCTTTACCCCAAATTATCTTTTTCTTTATGGGTTTTCTTATCTACTTTTTTTCCTTGCCACTAAAAAATAAAGTTTATGGACTCAGGAAACTTGTTTGTGTTTTTATTTGCTTTTTCCCCACATCAGTGCCCATTGTTAGGCATGTAGTACTTTCTTCCTCTCCTCCTCCCCGCTCCCCCGCTTTCCCCTCCCCGCCTCCTTCATTATATTTTAAGGACCTATCCATTCACAGCCAATTGAAAATTAACAAAACAAAACAGAATGCAAGACAGAATACTGGCCCTTTAGCACAGATAGTTCGAGAGACTTTTTTAATGGGACTTATTTACCATTTTCACATGTGTATAAACTGTGCCATGGGTATGTTCCAATGACCTATCCAAAGGCTAACAAGCATAAACCTGCCTAAAAAAATTTAGATGGAGGACCTGATCCAGGAAGAGAGATATCATTCCAGATAACTATAAGTTAATAAAAACTAGTATGTGATATACAAGGAGGAAACTAACAAAGCCCATTCGTTCACGGTCCTCCCTGGGTCCCATTTTTAAAGATGGCATGGCCAACACCTACTTTCTAAATGTTTGTTTTTTCATCTCCATGTAAAGTACCTTCTTGCCCTTTGAAGTCCCAAACTACCCCCCACATCCCTTAGCTCCAGGATGGCACATGAGCCTCAACTGCCAATGCCTCCTTGGGTCTCTATTCTAATGGCAATTCTGCACGTACATTCATATAATAAACTTTGTACCTTTTCTCCTGTTAATCTGTATCTGTTAGACTTGATTATCAACTCAGCCAGAACATAGAAGGTTGGAGGGAAGTTTTTCTTTTTTCTTTTTTTAGCTCCCAAAACTGGCATAAAATCCTGGATCCTGGCCTATGTTCTTTACTCTCCTCCCTGTGGGATCCCTTGCCTTCTGCAGGCTAATACATTGAGCTTTTTAGCTTATACAGGTTTGAGTTGTTAAAATTTTTGTTTGCAGAAGACCAACAATGTGCCCAGATTCTGAATATTTCCTTAAACCAGTGCAACAGCTGATACCCCAAAACTGGGGCTGACACAGTGAAGTCCTATCCTTGGCTCTTGAGCAAGGCCAAGGATTTTCATTTGTACTGGATTTGCCTTGCTAATTAAACATACTTATTTGGCTTTACTATATTAGACTTTTCTATTCAGAACTAGATTAAACTGTCAATCATCTCCCATATTTCATATTGTTTCCTTTGGGCAGGGGCCTGCGTGATATTACACATGTCTCGTCAATAAAACAGCCCTCTGGATTGAAATCTGTTCAGGACATATAGTAAGATGTCAAATTAATTGTACCGAAATAATGAGTTAACGCCAAATGCTAATTAAATATTGATGAAAGTCATACTTTCAATTATCTTCATTATGGCCCCATGTTTTATGTAGGCATTAAATGCTTGCAGTGTCGGTGCATCTGGTAATTAGCTGTGCACTATTAAAAAAAGCCGGAGTTATTGCCCTCCATATTAAAAGCACTTAGAAACCCCTCGGAAAATAGAAATTCTGAAAAAAGGCAGAACTTTTTTTTTTCCCTGAAAATGTTTGAAATTCTAAGAATTCCACACTCTGTCTTTGCAGTATTGGATACTGCTTTTTTTTCTTATTGGTCTGATTAGAAGTCAGAAGGCCCCTTGAAGTTCCTGATGAGCTTTGCTGAGTCATGGCTTTTTCCACTCAAGTTAAATTTGGCAGCCTGTCCTCTTAAACACCTATATTGCCTTTTATCCTTTTCCTGCCTGTAGGAGAAATGGCTGCCTCTGGTGAATATGATCATTATTATCATTTACTGATTTGTCACTAAGATGGTTCTGAGAGGACAGCTCCTACCGGCACCACTTGCGTTAGAATCACCTGAGTTACTAAGTCGTGTGCAGATTCCTCAGCCTCCCATAGGTGACCCCACAGAGAAGGAGGAGGAGCCTCATATAAAGTTTGACAACGAATATGTAACCTGGCATTTTTAATCTTGGTTGCTTAGTAGAACAGACCTGGGGTCTTTTAAATTGATCTGAAGTAGGACCACATATGTGTATGCATAAGTGTGGATATGCACACACACAGACACACATCCTATGTGATTCTAAAGTGTAATTAATATTATGGGGCCTGAAGCAGTATGTACAGTTGCCCTTCTTTCTGCTTGGAAGTTTCTTTCCCCTTTTGCGCTTGAAAATTTTCTTCTCCATTCATTGTTCATGATGCACTTTAAAAAAATGTGAACATACTTTTGTGATACTCATTTGCCTGTTTGTTTTCAGACATATTCCTTTCAATAAAAAATATGCTGAAAGGGAAGCACAGGTGCCACTGAGACAGCTTGTCGTGGAGCCACAGCAGCCATATGGACTTGGAGGCTGAAAGCCCAAGGCACATCTGGTGGACTCTGACTCCACCATTTCTTGTCTGTGTGACTGCATAGGTTACTGAACTTCTCCGAGCCTCAATTTCCTCATCTGTAAAATAGAGGCAATAAAATCCACTTCCTAGGTTGTATATTATTTCAGCAAATCAAATAAGTACAAGCCTGTTAACAGGCTGGTTAACCTCCAGCAAAGTTGTAATGAGAGGAGACTATCAGAACCACCAGTACATGTGGAAGGGTCCAGAAGGGAGACACAGTAAATGCTCTTATAGGTGTCATTTAAAAAAATGAATTGGATTCTACAGCTGTACTATGTGCATTCACTGAGTTGAAGTAGAAATGGAAGAAAGAGAGCATTAGAGAGTTGGTTCTGTTGATGAAGACTTTCCACTTCTGGCATAGGTTAAAATATTCTGCACTGTAGAACACGTCTCCTGTCACCCGCAGTGGCTTCCATTCCCTTTTACCCTCAGAGTAAAAGCCAAAGTCCCTCGGCCACTTCTTTAACATCAGCTCCTACCTCACTCCCATTGTCACTGAGGCTGGGGGAAGGTGGGGTGGGGGGGAGGGGTCCAGCCACACACATCTTAGGCTGCTCGGAGAACAAGCTGAGAAATGAACCTCAGGGCCTTTATGATTTTGTCCCTGCTTCCTGGACCCGTCCTTCCCATCGCCGTATTTATGGCTGGCTTCCTTATTTCAGTCCTGTCTATGCTTAAACAGCTTCCCCAGAGAGACTTCCTTGACTGTTCTGTGTAAAACAGCACCCTGTCTCTGCATCACCACCTCTCTACCTCACCCTGCTCTATTCGTCTTCTTTGCGTTTAGCTAGAATGCTCTCTGCTTATTTTATCATTTCTCCATCCTTTAAGACCCTAAACTCCATGACAGCAGGGACTTAGTGGGTTCACTCACATAGCTGGAAGGCTGCTTGATGTGTGTTGAATAAATTAAAAAAGGAAGGCAGGGGGAGAGGAATAGAGAACTGACACTGCTGAGCACTTACTCTGCCGGGCCTTACGCCAGGCTTCTTAACCAGTGGGGATAGTAATGTTTCCACCACTGCACACATGGGGTCAAGGCTCACAGATAATAAGGAGCTGCCACAGCAAAGTCACATTGTCCAAAATCACCGTTATGATCTTCTCCCTCAGCCTGCCTTGCTTTCCAGTGAATCTCCTTTCAGTGAATGGCAGCAGCATTTTTCCAGTTGCTCAAATTAGAAACCCAGGTATCTTTTTGTGGGTAATACTCCTCTCCTTCATCGCCCACATCCAATCCATCACTAAGCCTTACTGATTTGCCTCCTAAATATCTCTCAAATCCATCTGTTTCTCTCCATCTAGTGCAATGAATCATGATTTTCACTTGGATCTTGCAATAGCTTACACCTGGTTCGTTCCCCTGTTCCATGCGTGTCCCTCTAATAATTCATTTTCTTCACAGAAACCTGAGCAACTGTTACAAAATGCAGAACGGATTCTGTCCTCCCTCTCTCCGTGCTCAAATAGTTCAATGATTTTTTATTGTTTGCTTTTTCTTAGCATAACACTAAGGTCCTAAATTTGGCCCGCAAGTTGGGTCCCATCCTGCCCTTGCCTCCCTTCCACCAGCTTCCAGGCTGCTCACTGTGTACTAGCCATTCTGGCCGTAGGGGCATTTCCAAATACTGCAGGCTCCTTCCCAGCTCAGCCTGCACACTCCCATCACCCTCGTGCCTTGTTGCCCAGCTTTGATTAGTTAATTTCTCAACCTTTAGGTTTCAATCCAATCATATTTTTAAAATGTTTACTGCCCCATCCCCTCCCCCACCCCCAGACTAGAGACTGACATGGAACATCATAGAAAAAGAGCGCCGTTCTCCATGAGGGAGTTTATCACAGTTGTAACCAAAGAAATGTGAAAGCATGCCTATTTTTTCAACTAGATTACTGTCTCCTTCAGGTAGCATCCTACACAACTATCTTATGGCTTTTTCCATCACTTGCTATAAAGTAGCACATAAAAAAAAAAACGCTGGATAAATATTGTGGAATATTGTTGAATGTGATCTACTTTCAATGGTGAACCTGATGAGGTTAGACTCTGGCTTTGAACCTAGGGCTGTGTGACTCCTAACGAGAGTGATGCCTCCTTTCCATGGTTCCACCTTCCATGATTTCAGTTACCCAAGGTTAACCTCAGTTATATTAAATTTCTGAGGTTAACCTCAGAAAACATTAAATAGAAAATTCCCCAAATAAACAATTCATAAGTTTTAAATTGTGTGCTCTTCTGAGTACCATGAAGAAATCTTGTATCACTCCCCCTGGGATGTGAATCACCCCTTTGTCCAGCATGTTGACACTGTATACATTCCCCACCCATTAATCACTTAATAACGTTCTCTGTCACTGTATCACTGTATCACAGTGCTTATGCTCAAGTAACCCCTATTTTACTTAACAGTGGGCCCAAAGTGCAAGAGTAGTGATGATGTCAATTCAGATATGCCAAAGAGAGCCATAAAAGTACTCCCTTTAAGTGAAAAGATGAAAGTTCTTGACTTAATAAGGAAAGAACAACATCATATGCTGAAGTTGCCCAGACCCATGGCAAGAATAAGTCTTCTATCTGTGAAATTGTGTTGAAAAAAGAAAATTCATGCTAGTTTTGCTGTTGCACCTCAAAATAAAAACACATCTCATTACATAGGCATTGTATCATCTCACATCATCATAAGAAGGGTGAATATTGTACAATAAGATATTTTGAGAAAGATATAATTGTTTTATATTATTATTAAATATTGTTAATCTCTTACTATACCTAATTTATAAGTTAACCTTAATCATAGATCTGTATGTATAGGAAAATACAAAGTATATTTAGGGTTTCATGCAATCTGTGGCTTCAGATATCCACTGGGGGTCTTGGAATGCATCCAGAAAGAATAAGGGGGGACTGCTGTTTACTAGCATTCTTTCCAAAGGTGCCCAGGCCAAAAACCTACCAAAGGACAGAGAGAAGTGGAGGACTGGAAAGTTATTCCTGAAAACAGGGGCTGGGGAACACCTCTGTGTGGGGCAGTCTCAGCCTGGGTCCATGGAGGCTGCTGTGTTCTTACTCCTCATTACCAGGCTTCAAGACTGGTTTAGATTCTTATGCTCGGACTTTGCCTTTGTTTTTTCACTTAAAGCCATGAAAGACTATGGTCTTTTAGGAGTCATGCTGCCGCATTTGGAGCTAAGATAAGGAAAGCAAAAACTTAAGTGATGGAAAGTGACAAGATAGGTACAACTCTATACAAGAAAATGAGATGGGAGAGAGGAAATTTGATTTGTGGTTACAGTGGCAGCTGAAACAGGGCCATCCTGCTAAATAGCAACTAAAATTCATTCATTCATTCATTCACTCATTCATTCATTCATTCATCCCTTCATCCCTTCATTCATTTTTTAAATTATTGATAAATTTCCTACTGTGTACTAGGCATTAATTGAGTACAAAATATACAACAATGGAAAAAAAAAAGAAATAGCTGATACTTTCCTCACAGATTTTATATTTTTGTGTGAGACAAAAAAAATAGTTAAATATACAATAACATTAGGTGATGATAAAGCACTTTGCAGAAAATTACTGTAACATTAAGGGAATAGTAATCAGGGATGGAAGTGAGTTAGTTTAATTTAGATGAGTGTGAGCGAAGTCCTCTTGGAAGAGGTGACATGCAAGCAAAGATCTAATGAAGTAGGACATGTGAATACAGAGAAAAATTTTCAAGCAGAGGGAGTAAATGACATAGGAAGAAATTTGGTTTATGCTTTAGTTAGGGGATATTAAGTGTTTTAACAAACGTTATACACTCCCATCACAGAAACTCAGGGGTTTGACACAAAAGCACCTCATTTCTTGCTTACAGCAGAGGTGAGTGTGGGGTGAGTGGATGTGCTTCCAGGTATTGCTTCAGGGACCCAGGACCCTGCTTGAGTGGCTCTAACACTTTCTAGCATTCTGAGTCCTCTACTTTCTACAGGCAGATGAAGGAACTGGATCATGTGGGAGATTTCTACAGGTTAGGGGTGGAAATGGCATGTGTCACATTTTCTTATTCCACTGGCCAGAACTCAGTCACATGCCTCCCTAACAGCATGGGAGGGTAGGCAGGGTTACTGGGGAGAAGATCCAGGTTTGGTAAGCAGTAGCCGGTCTCTTCCCAGCATATATAAAGAGCATACAGGAGCCAGGATGACTGCTGGTGAGGGAATGAAAGATGAAATTTGAGAGGTGGGCAACTGCTGTGGCTGGTAAGGCTCTTAGGTCATAGTAAGGACTTTGTATTATTTCATGAGTATATTGGCAGACTGCTGAGGATCTTAAACAAGAGAATGGTATACTTAAATTTCAGTTTTCAGAAAGAACTTGCAAGCTCTTCAGAGACTGAAAAGGAACAAGAAAGACTATGGTACTAAGTCATGGGAGAAGGAAAGATAGCTGGGAGTAGTCATGGCTGAGGTGAAAATTCATCTGCTTGCATATAGTTTTGAAGAAAAAGCAAACAGGAATTACTGTTAAATTGGATATGAGAAGTAAGACTGAGAG